ACAGAGAAAAGTATATAAATATATTTTTTTTTATTATATTTAAAAATTAAATATTCTACATATATTTCATTATTAATGTAAAAATACAATAATGTACTTTTAGCATCTCGCTAAAGTATCATAATCTACGACATTACCAAAGAAATACTCTACTGGCATAAACAGAAATACATACTGTAGTAAAAGCAGAATCCTTACTAAGAGATATATCCTACAGTCGGTATATATATCTATTCTAATTAAGGTATTATCAATAAAATAACTGTAACTGCATAAAAGCAGAGAACAGACATTTTCCTAACATAACATTATAAGGTAATAAATTTACATAGAATAACTCTATTGGTAAAAACATAGTCAGTAAGATAAACATTTTGTTGTCACATTAGATACGAGTATTCTAATCAATTATTGCTTAATCAATAATTCGAGGTCATGGTTTGAGGTCATGCTTCGAGCCATTACATTTAAAATAAGTGATCTTATTAATTAAGTCGTATTTAATAAATGGAATTAGGAAAGAATATTTTTTACGGCCCACTACCACTTGCTCCGAGATAGTATCAACAAAACGCACGTGGACCACACTCGGCGTGTCAGTGCAAATGTATCTATATACCTATCTATTGAAAAAAATCGTCATGCGAGATTTTTTTCTATCATACGAACATACCTCGGGATGATCTTTAACTTGTTGGAATTGCTTCACCATGCCTTCCCGGTGACACTTTCTGTACTTCATGATCCCCTTCAGTATTCTATCCATCACGACATTCGAGTAATAACTATAAAATGAACCATCAGAAACTTATTTTCCTAATGTGAAGAGCAATGACAACACACAATTCCACCATTTAACAACTCAAAGGCGGGAAATTTAACTTCTCTCTGATCTGTCATAAAATAAATGAACCACATTTTTTTTTAATTCAGAAATGCTTTGACCTTATAAAATATAATAATAATATGTAATCTTCTTACGGACTCTCCCAAATTCAACAACAAAAAATTCAAAAAAATCAGGGCGAATGAGAGTCAGCGTGGTAGTTAATAAATCTTTATTCCAAAAAATAGAAAATAGTACGTTC